ACATCCCCCGGTCGGAAGAACACCCCTACGCGACAGATTAATTGCTCTCCCAAACCCCAGACCACCCGACCGTAACAGTATGCATCTCCGATCTCCTTTTCAGTTGCTTCTTGAAAGTCTCGACTGTATTGAGCAGCAAATTTCCACGGGCCCAGTGCATAGTCCGCGTCCATTGCATCCATGTCTAGTTGTTTGTATGATTTGGTGAATGGTTATAAAAAGAGTCGCGATCTAGCTCTGTGCTGCCCAACTCAGCCCTGTTTATATGTTTTACTTACACAAATCTCTGTATTGAAGTGCTGAATCAACCATAGTTACCACTTGGCGAAATAGATCGGGAACCCTCCATGCTTTTGTCAGAGACAAAGGGTAATGAAGACAAAGTGAAAATCTCTTTTATACGCTTCTTTGCATATCACGTTGCCGTCGGCGGAACAATGTTTCGAATTGTATTGTTTTGTATACCTGCAGTAACAATCAGAGAGGTCATACAATTAAATCATGCAGAAATAGTTTCCGAATTCTGTCAATTTTGTCGATTTTTTTCTGGTTTATTCTGCCTAATACTAAGAATGACTAACTGTGAACGTTCACAGGCGCAGCAAGCACATGACCAATTCAAAATTCCTGGCCGTACGCCATACCCACTGCGGAACGAATAATTTCTGCAAACTCATTGTCACTTCATAACAGCTGACTTTTCCAACTAACACCCTCAGCTGACTTCCTTGATGGTTACATGATGCAAACACAATCTGCAAATAAACTTGTCATCACTTGAATGATGATGCAATCACAAACTCATCATCTTGGGATGGTTATAGTCCTTAATGAAATTTAACTGATTTAGGTGTTAATTCCATGAAAAATGATTACATTTTAACTGATTCAAGTACTAATTCCCATTGGGATGGTTATAGTCCAGACTAAGTGGGATATTTGTAGTCTATATTGACTACAAATATCCCACTAACTCCATGTAATTTATTTAGGTTTTTATTAGCAGCTAGTTTCCCTTATATATTCAATGGCATACTCACAATGTGTATGTTATGTCATTAATAGTCTTATTAGGAGGCTCTAATACTAAAGAGTTTCGTTCTTCTTTATATGAGCATAAAATACCCAGAACAGCAATGTACGCGCATTAAATTATAGCAATATAATAAAAGAAATTATTTCCAAAGTCGCGCCCGGACAAGTAAAAACGGTCGGTGTAGGAGGAATAGCAGTTCAAAGTTCCTGTGTATCTAATCAATAGTTTTATAGTAAGTTAATTTTGTAGTATAATATATTATTCTGTCGTTGTTGGTTTGGTGTATCCTTTATTTGGCACAGCTCTGTCGTTGTTGGTTGAAAACCTAATCTATGTATGAAATGTGACAATTGCTTTACGAGAGCCAATAACGACTTCTTTCACCATTGGGATAGGCCTGTGTGGTGAATATGAAAAGTTAGCTGTCAAGTGGACCAGTAATCATATGAAAGATAATGAATAACGCCTATTTATTAGAAGCTAGGATAATAGTGTCTTCTCGTTTTACTGTTACTTGTTTACTTTTTATTAGGGATCTACATTACGAAGTATTTATGGTTAATAAAAAACATAACGATAATGTTTGACAATGAATAAGGCATATGAATAAGAAAGAATTGTTCGTACTGGATTTATCATAGTATTCGGAATAAATCCAAACCTTTTTCATTTGACTGCAGAGTGAAATCTTGATAGACAAATGGTGACCAATGAGAATGTTGAACACCCCTGAAGTGGCGTAACGATTATCGATGCTAGAAATTTGGATATGTTGCAGCACGCTCCCTTTATGCAGTAACATGCAGTGATCGGTCAACCTGCATATGATTGAACGACCCATCCAATTTTCATCTTAACTCAAAAGCATACTCATTCGCTTTCTTTCAACTTAATCCACATCTCCGTCTTCTTTCTGCTCCCTCCCCCCTTAACAACGTATATATATAGTTATATACACTTATTCAATATTTTGGCAAGTTCCAAAATTCTCATATACATTATTCAGGAATAATTGTTGTAATAGGAATTCTTTGTCACTGCTTATCAATGGAAAGAGAGATATAGACGAGCACGCGAATTTTTAGAAATAGAAGAAAATAGAATAGACTTTGTCATATTTATTGAATATAGTTCGAAATACACTTTTCGGATACACTTTTGTTTTGATTGTTATTTAAATTAGTTTGTATTTATGGTTAGTTTGGTTATATGGGAATTATAAACAAACTACTTAATAGCAAAGCAACCCAATAATAGTGTACAATACGTAGACGTAAAACCTTTTATACCCAGACAGTCTCGTTGTTTTCTTCTCCCCAACTGCTCATATCCCAACCACCACCCACCTTTCACAAGCGGGTTCTACTCTCTTTCACGCGATTAGTGGTCAAAAATTCCTATTGCAACGCGCATATCATCCTACCTCTTTTCTCAATCATTCTAAACGCAACATATATACGCCTTTTCGATCTTTTCACACGTAGCCACATATTACATAAAGACTCGGCGGTACCTAGACTTTTTTACTCTACCTTCACTCCTCTCTCCTCGACTGTCAAATTCCGAGCTGACATATAAGAACTCGTAGAGCCGAGATCCAAATGTCGACGCTCTCGGCAACAGATGGGACAACACAAGGGAGCACTATTAACTCGATCGCCGAGTCTTCTACCAAGACTTTAAGGGAGGAAAGCTACATACTCGGAAAATTTGTGGATAGAGACGACAACACGGATAGAGAAAGTATGGGTGAACGGTATATGGATAAAGAAAAAGGCGTAGAGGATGTAAACATCTATGACACTGACACACAAGATCTGAGCGCCGAAGAACCAAACACAGAGAGAAACGAATCGACTGACATTGAATCGAACGATGAAGACCCCGATGGTTATTACGGAGAATCATCTACCTCATACACATACCCCCGCAGAAACTCTAGAAAGACAGGACTATTTTCTGGTTTTTACCCCTTATCTGATAGAAACGCATATAACTTTTCGGCGGAGTTGATAGCTCAGGTAAGAGCTTGGTGATATGGGGGGAGATGATGATGGATGATTTGTCAGAGACGGTTGCTGTTTTGCAGGATATATGGCTCTGCACATGGAGATGAGTTCATATTGAGATTGAATTGACGCTGTATGTGTCATATGATCTTATTGCTGATACCGTTTTTTTACCGTCAATTACATCCGTCTAAAGTTTGATAGATACCGCATGACGATGCACGAAAGTCTCCGTCAAGAACTAGACGAATTAGAAAAATTGGTATTGATACCTTTTATCCCATCCACATACTATTTGTATTCCCCAAAACCATTATGCACGTCTCACTGATCTGTCCAAAATCTCGTATACGCAGCGCCAAAACCCAACTCTACAAAAAACACCCGCCTCTCCAACGCCAGAAATTTTTGAAACTCCCGTTCGTTCACCATCTCCAACACGTGCATCCATCTCCACGACCGCCCGTCCGCTAAGTACCGAAACGAATGCACCAATGAAATGTTTTTCAAGTAAACAGAAATATAAGAAAAAGGGACGGTTAAGACAATTGTTGTTTAGTGCAAGGAGAGGTAAGATTGAGATGGAGGATGGAAGAGAGGAAAGTGATGGTGAAACGAGATACGGAAAAGAAAAGGGAGAAAGTAGGAAGGGAGATAGTAAGGATAAATTGGATGATTGGATTATTACCAAAGGAAGGGAAGAGATAAGTGAAGAAATTTCTGTTGATGAAGACGGTACAATAACCGAAGATGTAAATATTAGCAATAGCAGCGCAATTGAAGGAAAAAAGCGTGTTGAAGACAAAAGTGATGATGGTGACTCGGATAATACGGAAAAAAGGAAGACATCAAGAATGAAGAGAGAACAAAGTCTAAGACGTGTTGGAAGCACCAGAAGGAAATTTGGATTGTTTGACAAGTGTATGTCTTTGGATGACGAGTCATGATGTTGGAGTCGCGGGTTGTTATACGAATGTATCAATAGCGTTGTGTTTTTGGTTTTGTTTTGTTTTGTTTTTTTGTTTTATCTTTTTATACTATTCAAGTTATTGTCTTAGTTTCGATTGCGAGAATGTATGTAGTTTTTAATATGTATGTGGTAATGATTTTTATTATTAGATATGTGGTCAAAACGGGGGGGTTTTTTTGAAGGACAATTTAGAGGCGGAGAAAAATTAACATTAAAATATCGATTGTATGATGTGTTAAAATGTGTTTAGAAGAGATATTTCAGATAGAGATTACCTGTAAAAGGCGCGTTTGTTTAGTTGAATACATGTGATAATGCTTTGGATGTATTATATTCCGTTAATCATATATTGTAGTGTATTATTAGCTTGTCCTGGTGACATATATCATATTAGATGTATAGCAATTACTAAAGATTTAATGAATAAATCTTGTGAAATAATTAAAGCCTAAGTGGTCATCCATTTCAAATTTGGGATTCAACTCAAGACATGCACAACTGTTAAAAATCAATTTTTTTACCTATAACTATTTTAGTCTTAGAATCATAGTACATGTAGTATGTTTCTGTTTACTATTTAGTATTAATTAAATTGCACTATGATGTCTCTTGTGAAAGACTGACAATTATTAAAGGAATGGGCTCCATGATATTCTAAGTGCATAACGTGTAATCTTTTTCTTTAGCGGTTAACCTAGTTTGTGTTATAAAGTAGCTTATTTATGGATAGCAATCGTTACTATCCCAAGTTGAGTCACTCACCTGTGGCAATAAATTTGTTTAAAATCGCTAAACATACTCGCCACATATTCATCACATCGATAAACTCGCGTAAGTCAAGCAGAATAAATACAAATTTTACAAGTTCCGTTAATTATTACCGGGCTCAATATTTATGACTTAGAAATAATAGGTAAACTGTGAGTCACTGAATTATCAAAAATAAAACATTGATATTAGTAAAGGGAATTATTTTAAGCAACATATGCAATTAACCGCCTTTTTACCTGGAACTGAACCAAAACCGTGGCTCATTGTAAATAAGACCTTACTGGTATACAGACTTTCTTTTTCGAGACTTGATAAGTGTATTGCGTTATTGTAATAGACGGTATTCCACACATCATCCTTATCTGCCGCTTTAACAAGATCGTCAATATCAGACGAAAGTGTCCACACATCTGGTCGCTTATCAGGGTTAGCATCACAACATTTCTGAGCAATTCTTCTGGTGCTGAATCAGGCATTGGTGGCCCATAATGTCGCATAATAAATATCTATCGAATTGCCTATCTCTAAAAGGTGGTTCACCAGTGGCCATCAAATGCATAATAATACCAAAAGAATAAATGTCTGATTTCTGAGTAAATTTGCGAATATTGAAAACTTCTGGTGCAATAAAAGGTAAAACGCCTCGAATGGTTGAAGATGATTCAGACGCCACCGGTTGAGAGAGGCCAAGGTCACAGATGAATGCCCAGTTACCATCCACGACTATGTTTCCCCCATGGAGATCACAGTGTACTAATCCCATTAAATGGATAGTACGCAGACTATCTGCGATATTTTTCAAATACTGCAGTTTCATCCGCCATGTCAATTTAGAAATGTTCTGACCTAAATAAAACAAGAGATCGCCATCTTTAGCATAGTCCATAACAATCAGATACTCTTTTATATTTGGTAGTTGTGTGACACCAAAAATCCTGAGAAATGAATACCCGGATAGGCACTTGACATGATTCCGAAACTATCGATCGAATTTTATAAAAGCAACGATCATGGGGAAATTAGTATGTGACAAAAAACTCATTTATTCATTAAATATTTAGAGTAAATAACACAATAAGATTGCCTACCTCGGAAATAAATAATTCCGGCATTTGGGAAAAATGTTTAAATTTTTTGAGAACAACAAAGCGTCGGCCAAACTGGACCGCCGGAATCAATCTTCTCAACATTTTCAAAATTGTGATAGTACATGTAATGCACTATCCAGTTGGACCTCATGATTCCATCCAATATTGCATGTATGTCGTGGTAGAACACCAAACAATAGTCTTCGGTAATTGGTTTTTGAGTAACACCAATAATCCAATGTTATCAGGTGTTAATATCTTCGGGTAGTCTCCAAGTAGCTATTTAACATAACGTTACAACGTCGATTTAGAGTACGCAACACATGTTTGATAGCAATATAATAGCTGCTATAAAATTTTGTTTACGCGCTAAAGTTAACTCACCTGATCGAAATTAAAATTTCTACCAATCTGGCCATCAACAACCTTCTTGAGCATCACTCTTGTTAATTTATTAGTTGTCGGTTCTGACCAATTAGCCGAATGTGTGCATCCATGATGCAACGAGGCCGATTCTTGTACATTCTTCAATTGAGAATACTCAATCCAACGTATGCAGGAATCAGTTTCATTCTTCATGTTGCCCCATGATTTCATGATAAACGAATCCAAAGATTTGTTGCCGGTAGTCCAGCCAAGGGGTCTTGGCGCTTTGCAATCGAAACAGAATGCGTCTACTTTAAATCCTAATCGTTGCGTGCACGCCAGACATAATTTCTCTCCATCCTTTTCCCTTATTAAATAGTATTTTTGTTTTTCGAAATCATACGTAAATCCAATAGTGATCCACGTATCCACGCTAAAGATGTCTAAATGCGTTTCGCGTAACTAATGAAATAATAGATACTGATATCAGTCAACTGTTAACTACAACAAGCATGATATATTAAAAGTTTACCTTGCCAATCTCGTCCGCTATCTCAAATGGAATCAATTTCACATAACTACGTGTAGGTAGACCATACAAGCCATATCCATATTCCTTCCAATCCTTAATACAGTCAAATAAAATCCATTCCAAATAGGCATCATTCGCCGAGTTTGTTTGCATTTGCGATTCCTTAATGAATTCGTCAAGTCTCTCATTGCCGCTAGTCCATCCATCGGATAATTCCTTATGTCCGCAAATGCACCACACTGGACTGCATCTGAGCATTCGACATGCGGAGCAGAACCCATATCCAGAATAGTAATGATGAAACCCTCTATCAGCAACCAGATAGTAGTTGTCCTCATACTCGGTAAATCCCTTAATCATGCTATTACGAATGTAAAGCCAATCGGGATATCTTCTGAACTGATCGTCATTAGATTGCTTCTCCTTCTGTGGGCGCGTTGGAAGTGAGTATTTTCTAGCAAACTCACTCATAAATGCTGGGGTACATATTTTTTTGCTTCCAAGCAATAACAGCATCATCTCACCATCCGGTGTTTGTGCATAGTGAACGATTTGGCCAGCAGGCTGTTGACTTTTAATAAACTGCGAGTGAGGTATCCATTTGAGATTGCCTAAGGAGGATCTTATCAGGCTGTCAATTGATTCACGACTGTCTTTTACCGTGAAGCTGCTTTGACTAATATTAAAAATGAGGAAATAGAAACAGCTTATGCTGAAATGGACGAAAGAGCGGTAAATGGTGATTATTGTTTCGACCCCTGAAATTAACGACATAATGTGTTAGTCTGCTTCACATAAGGTTCCTTTATTCAACGTTCACTTTTTGATATCTGTACGTGTGATACGTTATTTTTGTTTACATCGTCAAACGTGAGGTAGCTTTTGGAAATGAACCTTTACAGTTATTCCTGCTCTTTATTGAATAAATATCAAAATTATGACCCTTAAACCAACAGTAGGGTTGATAAAGTGAATAGGTGGGAGAGTGAATAGTACAAAAGTGTGAATGGATGAATATAAGACGTACGTTGTTATGATTCCTCATAATACTCAGCTGTCCTTTCTCCATTCTCCTTACGCTAAATGGCATAACATCAATGCTTTCTATGCTTATCAGCATTTGTTGACTACTCTGATTTGGACAAAAATAATAGTCATCCGAATATACTCACTTCCAACGCGCGAGGACAATAACGACGTCGTTATAGTTAATCAGTTCAGAAGGCGACTCGATTGCTTATGTTGAAAAATCCTTTTACTGCAGTTCTATATACTTAATAACAATTACTGTATCTGGAAAAATATACTTGGGGATTTAACCCAAATCCGTTAGACTGTTACTACGTGAGAATGCGTGAAGTACAGTATGTGTTCTTCAAGTCACGATAGGAGCACATGCTTGAGCCGGTAGAATGGATTCAACCCCAATATATTAATATTACGAGATGTTACCGGGTTTACCAAATATTAATATTACCAAGAGCAGCTTAATTTATTTCATGTTGTGTCACATTATACTTTTTCATCTCTCGAAATGTATCCTTTGAAAGGTATAAAGGTAATTGAAATCGTTGGACTGGCTGCAGGACCATTTGCAGGTGTGTATACAAAGGAAAATACAACCTACTGTCGGTCAATTACGTGAGATGATTCTTATGACGCCAATTCGATAATTAGGCATGGTGCTAGCAGACTTTGGCGCAGACGTGATCAGAGTAGATAAACTATCACCAGCGATTTCTATGGATGTATTAACGAGGTAATTGATAAACAACACTTTGATACCTACCAAATGCCACTCACTTCCAATCGTTGTAAACTTACTTCCATCAATCGCTCTGAATTCTCAACCCGTAAAACATTCCAGACACAAGAGATCGATATCAATAGATTTTAAACATCCGCAAGGCTATCAACTCGTCAAACGCCTTATATGTACTGCAGATGTGCTTATCGATACATTTAGACCGGGAGTCATGGAGAAGTTGAAATTGGGTCCTGAGCGTATGTGTAAAGAAAACGATAAGTTGATATATGCCCGAATCAGTGGGTTTGGACAGAGTGGTGAGAGAGGTGAGATAGAGAAGAATGCTGAGAGTATTTAAATCGAAACCTAATATTAAAAGTAACATTTTTGCAAAACGGCTGTTGGAATATTCGCACATAATTCTTATAGGAAAATACTCCAAAACGGCCGGTCATGATATCAACTACATTGCAGTGTCCGGAATATTATCTGTAAGAATGTCAATTATCACGATCACACCATCCGCGTTTGTCAATTAAACGTAACTTTCTCTCAGATGCTTGGACGACAAAACGAGAAACCGACGTTTCCTCTGAACTTGCTGGGTAATACATTATCAACGTTCCTCCTATCTTTCCTTCGTGCTAAACTAATGTGAAATCCTCCAAACGGGTTCTGCTCTTACAGCGGATTTCGCAGGCGGTAGCATGATGTGCGTCCTTGGAGTTCTACTTGCCTTGTTGCATCGAAACAAAACCGGAAAAGGACAAGTCGTTGATGCTGGAATGGTGACTAAAGATCTACTGATGGAACGTTCGTCATAAGTTGTGATTATTTCACAGGCATCCACTTACATTACATTGCTCATTTACTTTCGCGTCGCATATAAAGACTCAAGGTATATCATACATATCGACTTTTCCCTATTTACTCAAACAAGCCAATCTCAACTTTGTAAATCCGCGAGGAAAGAATGTACTTGATGGTGGAGCTCATTTTTATGAAGTATACGAAACGAAGGATGGAAAATACATGGCTGTGTAAGTATCAGCGTATAATCTAAATTGCTACTCGTTATAATTGATCACCGAATTCATAATACAACCCTTGTTCGTAAAGTGGTGCGCTAGAACCACAATTTTACGAAACACTCGTAGTTCTTCTGAATCTTTCTCCGGAAACACTTCCCGAACAATATGACGAGTCTTCTTGGCCACAGATGAAGGCTCTATTTACATCCGTGTTTCTGTCAAAAACGCGAGCTGAATGGTGTGAAATATTTGACGGAAAAGATGCGTGTGTTACGCCAGTAATAGAGATCGAAGAAGGGGTAACAATCCCGCCGGTGCCCGCGCCTATATTATCAGTCACGCCAGCTTTATGTGCTAAGCGTGATGGGCCTAACAACGATGGCGGTTGTGCTGATGGTATAAGAAAGCACAATGAAACAACAGCAGAAGAACTGGTATTACCACTTGGAAGGGATAGTAAGAGTATATTGAAAGAGCTCGGATATACGGATGAAGAGATTGATGAATTTGTGAATAATGGTGTTGTTGGTATTGCTACGGAGGAGAATGAGGACAATTTGAAATCGAAATTATAAAGTTGAAATGTGATCATAGGAATATGTATGAGTATACTGTATATTATAATAATACATCAACATTTGAAATCCGGGATCAGTTGTAAAAAGGGAAATTGGTTTTCTGGCAAGAGCAGCGACACCATGTTGATAGAAGTCATAAGAGGTTCTTTATCAAAGTTCTTCCGCCCACGCTTTGTTATGGTTGCTTACGTGATCGTATACTGGCTTTTCCCACATCATCGACGGCGATACAACCAAATATTGTCAGAGCCGAGAAACTTTTTCGCGATGAAAAGATATAACAAAGGAATGGAGTCTTTCTTCGCGACTGTAAAGCGACAGGAAATATACCCTTTCAGGTATCAACTTCATAAAGTTTGTATTTTTTAAACTATATTTAATGTAATTGAGTAAACAAATAGGTTCGTTGCAATTCTGATAACGATAATAATAATGACGTAATTAAAGCTGACAATGAAGACTAAGAAGGTGGAAAGACATTTCGTGAATTGTAACCTATTTCACGGAAGCTGACACCGATTCAAGAACTATGACTTTATTAAAGTGTAGAAGGAATTTAATGGAGGTCTTCTCCCGCACATAATTATCCACATATGCTGTACATGCCCATTGCTATGGTTACTTTCTTTCTAAATGCCGGTCTGAAAAAAGTGTTTGACAGAACATCTGAAACATATCAGTCACGATGTTGACACATAATGGCATATGATATCTTAGTCTTGCCAAATTTGTATTGATTTTAAGATCTTGAACTGCCAAAAGTAGTAATTCACAATTAATGTTAGTTTGTTAATGTAATCATGCCGGAAAGGCAAGTTTAAATTCCAAGGTCCTGCAAATGAAGATCTTAAGCGGGAAGTTTTTTCACCTTCCAGCCTCTGATGTTAGTAGCACAGATTTTGACTCCAGCAACACCAATTCAATGTAACAAAGAGGTAATCATAGCATTATTAATTGATGTTTCCGGGTTATAACGTGGGTAGGTGTCGTAATGAGCAGAATAATAATTAGCCTTGCGCATACCACGCTTTATTTTTTGATGTTTGTATTTCTAGACTAGGCATAGATAATAACAAGTTATGGTATGCTTTCTGTAAATTACTGTTTTTACCGCTTCATAGTAGGATAGCATCGCTGTTATTGTGCTTTTGGCTTTTTCGAGGAGTAAATTCACGATAATAAATAGTAATAGATTATTACGTAATTTTTAATTAATGTGTGACCGTAACACAATGGTTATGCAATGCGATAATTTTAAAAAAATGGATTATTACGTAATTTTAATTAATGTATGTGATGTGATCATAGCACAATGATTATCTTGTTGCTTAACTCTTTTATTCAAAACTATGTCGTTAGTTAAAGCAATCGACGACTTGATTCAATGCTCATTAGAAAGTAAACATAAAATGATATGGATTTCTTGCTCGCAAATTGCCGACATAACGTCAAGTCAGGTTGACAACATCTTCTACGCTATTCGCAAAGGAACGTATGATGACGGTGTAGTTTATGAAGACAAGATAATGATGCTTTTACTCGGAAATAATGAAACATGTACACCAACTCTTGTAAGTGAGTTTGCCAGAATACACTCACTTCCGACACACAAGTACAATAATGATGACAATAACTTCAGAAGATATTCCTACTGGCTTTACTATCGCAACGTACAGATAAAGGGATTTACCGAGCATGATAACAACTATTACATGGTAGCCGATAGACGCTTTTACCATTATTATTCTCTCTATGGGTTCTGCACTGCATGTGGAATACTCCGATGTAGTCCCGTGTGGTGCATTTGTGGACATGAACAATTATCTGATGGATGGACGAGTAACAATAAGCAACTCGATGAGTTTATTAAGGAATCTCAATCACAAACAAGCTCACCAAATCATGCATATTTGGAATGGATTCCATTTGATTTTATTAATGATAGTAATAGGAGATACGAATTGATATACTTGGATAGTATGCTTACTGATTGTCTTGTTAGATCGACTCCGCTTGAAATAACGGATGAGACGTATTATGACAAGGTGACTATCGAAGTACGAATATATATATGTTTATCCATTGTTTAGCTAAATATTGACTTATGTATAATTTCCGCTAGCTATGTGAAAGGCATCCAGATATTCTTATCACGAATGTTTGGATTACTGTTGGCTTTACATATGATATATGCGAACAAAAGTATTGTCTAATAAAATCGGATTATGCATTATGTCTGGCGTGTACAGAACGATTAGAACATAAGAGAAATGCATTCTGTTATAGATGTAAAGCACCGAGTCCTCTTGATTGGACGACTGGCAACAAGTCTTTGGATTCATTCATTATGGAGTCGTGGAGTAATGTGAAGGATAAGTATGATGCCTATATACAATGGATCGAATACTCTTTACTGACAAACGTACAAGAGATGATATCATTATGCCATGGATGCACACATGTAGCAGACTGGTTAGAGCAGACAGCAGATGAACCGACAAGAGTGACACTCAAACGGATAGTTGATGCTCAGTCGTTTGATTTTTATCAGGTAAATTTGGTAGAATTAATTTAAGCGGCGTCGCGTGATATTATTGTAACGACCGTATTTGTTTACTCAAATAGCTGACTGAAGAATATCCGTCGATATTAACTCCAGATAATATTTGGATTATTGGTATCACTAAAGAACCATCTACTAAACAATATTGTTTGGTGTTCTACCACGATGTACATGCGATAGTGGAAAAATTTGTACAAACATATAGTCGCACACTTATTATTATGCAATATGCTGACTTTGATGAAATTAAGGAGATTGGATCTGGTGGTTATGGAACAGTTTATACTGCCAAATACAAAAAGTATTTGGAAGAGGATATTCCAGAAACTGTTGTCCTCAAACATTTTAAGAATTTTGATCAAGCACCAGATTTGTTTATTTCTGAGGTAAGCAAATCTGATAGTAATTAATTAAATGGTATTTAAAGCTGACCATGACCCTGTATTTATTTTTATTTAATAGTTCAGAAATCATGCCAAGTGCGCGTCTTATGATTTCCTCAAAATTTATGGAGTGACACAAGACCCAGAAACAAAAGAGTACATGATTGTTACGCAATATGCTAACAATGGTAGTCTTTTGTCTTATTTGGATCAAAATATTAACAAATTGACATGGATGGATAAATTAGAATATTTGAGGAATATTGTATGGTGTCTGGATACTATCCATCGTGCAGGATTAGTGCATTGTGATCTTCATGGCGGAAACATTGTTTTGCATAACAGAGGATCTGAGGTCAACCCATTAATATGTGATCTTGGTCTCGCACGGTCAGTGAATTCATGTAAGTTGAAATCAATGGTTCAAGGCGTTTTACCACCATTTATTGCACCGGAAGTCTTCCATACTCGCAAATTTACTCAGGAATCAGACATATATTCTTTTGGTATTATCATGTATTTGATGGCCACTGGTGAACCACCTTTTCGAGATAGGGCGTTCGATGGAGACTTGCTGTGCGATATTGTGGGCGGACTACGACCACTGATGCCTGGTTCAACACCAGAAGAATACAAAAAACTTGCTCAGCATTGTTGTGATGCTGATCCTGTCAAGCGTCCAAATGCAGAATTACTTAAGATTTATACTCACAACCTCATTGCAAAGGGGGAAGAGGATGCTTCTTGCAACAATATATGGAATGCTATTTATAATAATAATGTGAGACCATTATCACGTGAATAAATATTCTAGAATATTTGCCCTAAACCAAGAAATAGTTATGCTATTGATTATTATCACCAGTTACCTCCTCTACCAGATTTCAGCTTGTCGAGTTCAGAAATAAAGCTAGGGAATAGGGAAGGTAGATGAGATGTAGGAAGAAATAAATAAAAGATAAAATAAAACTTTCTTATAATTGCTGTAATGATAGAGGGTTTTTTCGAATTGATTGCTACGTATATAACAATGTCGGACTAGCTTACACCTGGGTGCACTGGCCGTTTTGGGATTTAGTTCGTTTCCAACGGAAGCTTTTGCTCTTCCTACTTTAAACTAAATATCGTACAATTAGTGACCTTTTAAACAGGCTTTCAATACTCACGATGTATATTATCACTTTTGTATACGCTGTCCCTGGATTATTATTTAAACTCGAGTATCTCAGCGATTTCTGTAGTGGGATTAGATCTACGGCCTATCGGACGGGGAATTTATTTATCTAAAACTACTAGTAATAATTAAACAATAATCCTAAATGCAAAAGTACTAAATTAATTGGCAAGGATTAATTCTATTCACCGCTGACGGGGAAAGCGTTTTTAGTTTTGGCCATTCGTAACTAATGAAGACTCAATGTCGTGTAATTTAATATTAATGGTATACGAAAATGCCTTAAATTGTAGATATCGGACAAATTTTGTATTTACCCTTCATTAAATCCATCTTTCACCAATTTTCTTTTTCCTATACATGTTTTCCCAATTTGCTTGGGGAGATGAGCTGTTGAGAGCGACCTAAACATACCTCTCGTATTTCTTCAACAGTCTTGACATGACCTTAATCCTATTGAAAACCTTTGAAACATAGTTAAAACACATGTAGAAAAACATAAACCAAAAAACTGTAAGAAATTAGAACAGTTTATGACTGAAGAATGGGAACATCCAAATTCTGTCCTATTAATTTAATAGATTTTATGTAAACTAATTATAGAAAATAATGGTGATCGCATCCCCCTATTAAATAATAAATCAATAATCAGCACCTTTCAGGCTTTTAAATGAAGTTTAAATTATATAATTTAGAGCAATGTGTGATAAGTTGGAAGAAAATTTGTTTGTGCTTTTTTTTTTTGAACACACCACTGTACGTTACTTGCTCCAATGTTCTTTATTTATGTATCTACATAAATAATACGTAGTAAGTATTATGACTAGAAGACAATTGCAGGCTGTACAACAACCTTGCATTTACAGTACATGAAAGA